GGCCTCGGCCACTACCAACCGGGGGCAAGGAGGGCTCACTCTGCAGGCCCACCCCTTCCCCTGGCCCTTGAACTCGCCACTCATCCGGCCCGGCCCGCCACCCTCGTGCACCCCACTCCTGGCCAGACCCTGCCAGGCGCCGCAGCTGCGAGGATGGGCGCCGCGGGATGACCGAGTGACCCGCCGCAGGTGCCCACCTCGCTTTCCGCCTGCAGTGAGTGGTCAGCTAGGCCCCCTGCCCTGGCCTCGGCCTCATCTTCCTCCTTTAACCAGGCAGAGAGCCGTACCTGCAGCAGAAGGGGCGTTGGGGCCCAGGGACCCGGGGGCACTTCCCCGGCTCTCCGGCTGTGGAGTCCAAAGTGTGATCCTTATCTCTGCTTGCCGGCTCTAGCCATCTGGTGGAAGGTTGGACTTCACCTTTGCTCCAGGAATGGCTCTGGATGCCACACTGAAGCTGACAGGACACTTCTCCCATTGCCTAAGACGGAGGAGGAGGGAGAAGTACAGGGCGGGGCACTGTCATCCTTCACTGGGGAACAGGCACACTCCAAGCTTCAGCAGGGCATCCCAGCACCTACAGCCGCTGGTAAAACACACACCATTCAAGAAAGGGCACATTTTCACATTGCCAGAACGGGACACATCATCTGACGGAAAGGCTGGACATTAGGAATCAGAAGTGTCCATGGACATGTGGTCATCGTCATCTCACAAGCATGAAGCCAAAGACCCAGAAAAGGTGGTAAGGGGCAGGTCTGAGTGCATCCAGCCCTCCACCCTGTCCTGTGGTATTCCTCCTGCAAACTGGCTATGCAGTGATTGATACAGCTCTGAAGTGTACCAACACTTTCAAAAGCATCATCTTACTCGATCACCTGGGGCAAGGGTCTCCAGTCTCCTCTCCTGCTTGGCTTATTAAACACACACATAATCTGAAGTGTTCTGGTCCTCTGACTCTGATGATTGTTTTGTTTGGAAGAGGAATCTATCCTTTGATACTTGCTAATTTTGTCTGCCCTCCTCCTGTTTGCCCTCCAATATTCTCTTCTGAGCTCGCTGTTACGCGATTGCTCCGTTAGTTCAGGGAGCTACTTGTATCTTCAATTCAGCGCTTCCAACGTCCTGCTTCCTGCCTCCCAGTTGACAGGTTTTAGAGAGAGAAGTCAGGTGAGGCAGGAACTGTGGTGGAGAGAAGTCCTTTTCCCATTAGTGTGTGTGGATGGGGGGTGGTGAGGGGAGAGAGTCATCATGAGGGAAAGGGAGCCCGTAAGCAGAAGGTGTGATTACCGGCGGTATTAAACGACACCCAGAGACAGCTGGTGCCAAGAGCCCCCGCCTCCCCTCCCAGTGCCTCCCGGCAGGAAGTGGAAGGAGTCAGGGGAATTGAAGTTGAGAGAACCCCAGAGGCAAGCCTGGGCGTATAGGCTCTGGGGAGGGCTGGCTAGACTGGCCCAGTGGACATGGGAGAGTTAACCCTTTCACTTCCCTCAAGGCTGAGATCCTATCTCCACCTGCCACTGCCCCGGGGCTTGCCTCCAACCTCTCTGGGAGAGGTTCCCAGGGAAGCTGGAGCCTAAAAGCTGGAGGAGTGGCTGGCAGAGTGCATGGGCCAGGAGGCAGGGCTCTTGTGCTCTGTTCTCTTCTGATCTTGTCACAACCTCCCTTGTCCCTTCTGTGCTGTGGAGAGAAGATCCCTGCCTGCGACAGGGTGCTGAGTGAAGCCTGCAGAATTGGGAGGTTGGCATTTTGGCCTCGGCTGTTGACCCACAAGGGGCACCTGGATTGGTGTCTTTCTTCCTAGCTGGCCCCAGCCACCCCCCACGTCTCTAGCCTGAGTCCTGCCCCTCCTCCATGCCTCAGCTTCTGCCCCAGTGGAGACGGCCCTCTTCAGGCCCCCAGCTGGATCCCACCGCTGTTGAGATGTCTGTCGGTCCCAGATTGGAGTCTGAGGGTCAAAGACCTCTGTCTCATAGAGCATGAGGGTGACTTCTGGGGCTGGTACAGGGGCCCCAAATCCCTTCTCCCCTTCCTCACAGGCAGGGAGATCAGGGAGACTCCCTTGATCCCTGAACTCTGCCCAGCCCACACTTCTCGGGGCAGGGCTGGGGCCATCTGGTTTAATGAGGTGCTGGCAGGCACTGGCCACGAGACAGCTGATAGGAGGTGTGTCCTGCTCGCTCCGGAGCTGGGAGGGACGGGCGGGGGAGCTTAGTGCTCCAGCTGGGAGGCACAAGGTCACGTGAGGCAGATAAAAGCAGGAGGCCAGGCCACGGGGCACAGCTGACAGTGCCTTAGACCAGGATGGATGCCGTCCCTCCTTTTCCCACTTCCTGGCATTGTTCATCTGTGCAAGGTGCTAGGAGTATATAGAATAAGGGTTCCTCGTATGAGGAACAGTATAAGAATCATACAATTCCTAGTGTAGCGATAGCCCCCGACTTCCAGGAGATTACAGATTAATGGGGAGACAGACAGACTAACGGGGAACAGAACACCGATGTATAACTTACATATATAAGGAATGAGCCAAGAGCTGTGGGAGCACATGGGAGGGGCTAGTAGCTACATAAGGGAGCCAGGGAAGGCTTCATAGAGGAGGCGAGCTTTGTGTTGGGACTTTAAGGATGAATAGGAGGTTGCTGAGCAGAGAAGGAGGGAAGGGCATTTCTGGAGGAGGGAACAGCATGAGCAAAGACACAGAGATGTGTTTAAAAAGAAAGAAGAGGGAAGAGCAGACTCCCCAGAGCCCTCCTGAGAGTCTGCCTGATGGCTTCTGGGGGACATCCCACCCTCCCAGCAGCCAGTTTCTGTAGGGTGGCTTTGGAGGACAAACCTCTTCCTGACATTCGAGAACCTCAATGGTGTGGCCAAATGGCCCCAATTACACCTCTCACCTTTCACCTGTTGCTCCCCTGCTCCATCCCTGGACGGGTCCCCATTCTCTGAATCTGCCATGATTCTATGCCTTTGTTCAAGCACTCCCCCCACCAGCCCCCCTCACTTTACTGCCCCCCACCACTCGTGTAACACTCCTGACCCCTTGTCCTCCCATCTCCACTTCTGCCTCCTTCCAGGTTCTGCTTCCTTCAGGAAACCTTCCCTAACAACCCTCTAGCCAGAGTGATCTCTTTCCAGCCTGCTTTCAGTGTCCTAGCCACTGTGTTTCTGGGAAAGGCACCACTCTCATTCTGCCTAATACCGCGGCTGTTTGCCCACATGCCCACGTCCCTCAGCCCTCAGGAGACTCCCAGCTCCTTGAGGGCGGGTCCCCTAGCACAGGGGCTGGCGAAGGCCTGGTACCTGCATCTGTGAAGCTGAATGGCATTGACTTGCTAGAGGGCCCACCTACTCTGCCATCTCCCTACCCCTGCCCAGAGGAACTGCCTTTGTTTTTCAAATGCCTGGAATTCTTCCCTAACTTCAGTGGGCATTCCTGGTTCATTACTGTTGCTTCAGCACTTCCTCGGTGATGCCCCTCCTGAAGGTGCCTGGCCCCGTAGGACAATCAGGCCACATCAGGTTCACCTGCATGTCAGTTCTGAAGGATGAGCCCTGGCTCCCCCCGAATATTATGTCCAGAAGGATTCCAGGGTGATGAAGCTCCAGAGAAGGAGAATGAAGATGGCTTAGCAGTGCCTACCTTGGTGGGGACAAAGGGCTCCCTCTGTCTTAAGTTAGTCTATCAGATGCTTTTCTTGCATTAGGCCAGGACTGGGGCACTGGCAGAGTGTGGGGCCTTTGCCTCTGGTGGAAGTTGATGGGGGAATTGAGGAGAAGAGGGTCTGGGGGCTCCAAAGGGGGATGTACCTTCTTAGGATCTCCCGAGCAGACCTGGGAGTCAGAGGTGTGAGTCTCCAGGTCTGTGCTCTGTCTGGGCCCCTCCTGCTCTTGACACAAATCGGTCCCCAGAGGGGCCGTGGCATCCCAGCCAGACCAGTATGGCCTCGTGGCTCAGGCAGGTTCCTTAGCAGGTGAGGCCGAGGCAGTGACATTGAATCCCCCACCTGTGGGAACGCTCCCACTGCCTTCTCCTCCCAGGCAGCTCAGGCCTCAGGAATGAGAATGTAGCAAAAGTGAACGATCTCTGGAGGGGGTTCAGTTCCTGGCTTTACTTTTGCCGGTTTGCTCCTGTGTGCTGTGATTTCCCCTAGTGGCCGTCTCTGGAAGTGCAGTTAGACTTGGTTTTGGGGGCCAGGGGTGGACAGGCCCCCAAGATCTGGCCTTTCCCAGTTGAACGGGAGCCAAGTGTTTTCTCACTGAGACACTCCTGCCCTTGCAGAGACTCTGCCTCGTGTCCTTAGCAGATGCCTGGCTTCTGCCAGACACCCTCCAGCAAGGCTGCTCCCCGGTCCGTGCCTTTGTTCCAGGGGCTCTGGTCAGTGAAAGCTGGCCACTGCCTTCAAGCCCCTTCCTCCAAGCGGCCATCTGATTTGCTCCCCCAGATCTGTGTTGACTCTGGGTCTCCACCTCTTCAGCCCAGGGGGACTCAAAAGCCCACGCAATTAAGTTTAATGCCTGGGGTCAATCCTCGTTCGAAGCCAGAACAGCCCTGTCCACCCCCAACCCACGTCAGCTTCTGCGAACTCTGTGACCCTTGTCACTGGGTCCAGGTTAATGGCCAGCCCTTGCTCACTCGTGACACATATATTTCCAGGCTCATTTACCCAGACTGGCTGTCTCAGCCCATCTCACTGTGACACGTCCTGCCCAGCCCAGGAGGAGGGGTCAAACATTTCACTCCTAAAGTAGATGCTAGCTCAACTGTCCTGAATCAGTATTTCTAATTTAATTTGACAACCCTGACTTTCAGGAAGTTCTTTCTCATCCTTGACCCAAATACCTCCAACTCAAGCTTAATTTCCTCATGCTCTGGGGACTATCCTTCTCTGTATTACGGATAATTGGATAATTGAACCGTAATTCTGGTCATTTTAGCAGCGTCCAGAAGCTCCGGGCCCTCTCCCCATTCTTCAGAGACCGTGGTTCTCAGATTGGGTTCCCATGAACAGCACCAAATTTTCTGTTCCATCCCGGGTGCCCTGTACCGTGCTGGAAGCTCAGGGTAGACCAGTTAACTTTCTCCTCACCTCAACCCAGTGCAGCAGGACTGCTGGTGTTATCCTGTTTGACAGATGAGTCTCAGGGGTAAAGTAACTGGCATCCAGTCCCCACGTCCCACAAGGCTTTAGCGCGGACATCTGGTCCAACCACTAGCCTCCAACAAGAGGCCTCTGTGAGCGCTGGGGACAGACGCCTCCTCTGACCTTGCTTCCATTTTACTCCCATTGTGCGCTTGTCTCTGGTGTGATTCTACGCTGATCTTTGCCAGCTGCCTAGGTGGCCTTTAGTCACGGCTTTGTGTGTTCCTGACTGTCCTCGTTTCTTGTCAGAGTCTTTGTTCAAAGGCAGGCCCTTTACAAAGGCTTTTGGGGCTGGCGGACCCAACTTCTCCAAGTCTCCACCCTTGTATGTAAAACGACTACTACATTTTAGGATCATTATAATAATAACAGCTACGTTTTTAATCAAGCAATTACTCTGGGTGGGCATAGTTTAGCACTTGACACGTGTAATTTCATTAAATTCTCACAAAAACCCACCTGAGTGAGATATTATCCTCCTGCAACAGGTGAGGAAACAGCCTCAGAGAGGTTACCTACTGCGATCATTAGGATGAAGTTAGCAAGAGGAAAAGCTAGGATTTGAACTCAGATTTGTCTCACCCCAAAGCCCGCCCCTTTCACTGTTATCCTGTAGAAAATAAGTGGGTTACGGTGGGCAAGGCTGCCACAGGGCAAGGAAACCAGAGGAAACCGACTGCCTTGGTGCCACCCTAAAGGTCATCTCAGCATTCAGAGAAACAGAAATCTGACTCCTAAAGCCTTGAGAAGTGATGCTGGCCTTTGCTCAGGGACATGTCTTGGAGCACACCAAGACCACACAGCAACGTTTCCTTAAAAAAGCATCTTTGCGCATCACCCCATCCCCAGAATATCACTCCTCATCGCATCAGCTCAGCCTCTCCCCTCCTTCTGTCTCCTCCCAAGCCCTCTTCCTGATTGTCTGTCCTGTAGTCCCAACCCCTTGTCTTCTTCTCGGCAGCTCTGTCCACCCTTCTGCTCAGTAAAACCAAAGATTTGTTGGGGAAGCCACCATGCTCAAAAGGAGGAGTAAACTCACATGAGAATTGAATACACTTGTCCTTTGCATGCTGGGCACTCAGTGCATGTCCAACGCTGGGAGAGGGAACCCCTAGGGGGTGAGGGGACAACTGAGAGGGGGTTTAGAGAACTACCTTCCTCATCGGTCTCCTGTACCGTCTCCCTTTTCCCTCCCTTCCCTCAGTACCTGGGCGAGGGGGAAGAAGTGGGGTTATTCGTCCCTCCTTTCTCACCATCGGACTCATTCAGCAAGACCCAGATCAATCCCAGCCCGACCCTCGGGCGTCTCTGGTCCTTGTACCCTTTCCCACCTTTGACTCCTGTTGCTTTCTCCACCCCTGCCACACGTCCTGCCTTTATGGTCACCAGGCTTTCCATGATGGGTGTTGTGGCTCCTTAACTAAGCTGTACGCTCCTTAAAAGTAGGACCTTATCCCTCTGCAGTGCCCGTCAACTACTGGATGCACCAAACTGATGGAACTCTGTCACCGAGCAGCACCCTCTTGTCACCAGTGACCTTCTGATACCTGCGATGGTGTCTGTAACTGCATGACTGTAACGGTTTAAAGGGTTTTTCTCATGCTCCTGCTGACCAGGGTTAGGCTGGAGAGGAGGGAGGCTTGGGTGGTCCGCCCAACGCCCTCGTGGTGCTGTGTGCGGGGACCATGCTCGGTGCCCTGCTCTTGTCCCCAGTGCCCTCCTCTTGATCCCAACATCTCAGAAATGGCAGTTGGGTGTTTTGTGCATCTTGTTGTTCATAACCACCCCCCACAACTGCGCATGTCTGCAGTTGTTTTTGCCCCCTTGTGGTTTCCTTGTATCAGCTTGTTGTTCAAGCTGCAGGCTGAAGCCTGCTTAAAAGGCTAAAAGCATTTATCAATCTGAATTTAAGCTGCACAGGTTTTTCTCTAGAGCTCTTTTCCACGGAGCCTCTTCCAATGCACCCTTTGTCCTAGGTACAAGAATATTAGAAGAGTCCCAAAGCCAGAAGTGAACTTCATACTCAGCAGAGGGAAGGGGACACTGTATTTGCAAAAACAAGAACAACTTTGCAACAATTGTTGCCCTGCATGCAATCGCTATGGAAACTAGCTCCTCGCCTTGAACTCTTGAAATTTTACTGTAAAACCCCCTGCCTTCTCTCCCCAGAAGGCTCACAGTCATAGAGGCATTAGTCCACTGTGACCTCCTTTGCCTGGCAAAGAAATAAAGCTGTCTTTTCTACTTCACCCAAAATTCTACCCTTGAGTCTCAATTCAGGTAACCAGGTATGGAGGCCGTGTTTCAGCAACAACTTGAAATGGATACTAACTAAAGATTGGACAGGGCGGAGGCTGTGGAATAATGGTTAAGAGTGAGGCTTGCATCCATTATTGTGCTTGATCCCCGGGTTCCGTGCCTCGATGGATCTGTGCCATGTGGGAGCATCTTCCCTTTCGGACACTGGGCGTGAGCTGGTGATTTGCTTTGGCCAACAGTGTGGAAGCAGTGACCATCTTAGTTCTCAAAGGCTTTGTGCATTTTCATTCTCTTCTGGAACCTTCCTACCATCCTGAGGACAGACTCAGGATAGCCTGTGGAGGACGTGAGACCATCCTAGGCCAGGCAAGGAAAGCTGACCCGTGGCCACAAACACATGACTGAGCCCAGCCGAGATGAGCCGGCCCAAGTCAGCAGAACCACCCAGCCGACCTGCAGTAATTATTGTAATTATTGTAAGCCGGTGAGTAGACATTTTGTGGATGATTTTTCTGGGAAGATGCAACACTAACATGGCAATAGATAATTGATACGACCAGTGATCAGCTCTGTGACCTTGGGCAAGCTTTTTTAATCTCCCTGTGCCTCTACTTCCTTGTCTGTAAAATGGGGGTGTAGTGGACATTGTTGAGAGCTTGCAACGGAGTCTCCCCTCCAGCGAGATGCTGCCTCACCCGAGGTTCTGCCCCTTCCCTGGGGCGGCCTGCAGGCAGTGGCTGGCTGGTGTGTGCAAAGAGGTCTGGCCTCCTTGTCCCAGTGTGGGACAGCCCTGCAAGGCCATCCTGGCTCCGAGGCTGCCTGTGGGATTGGCTGAGGCCTTTGGTGGGACTCTACCATCTCCCCTCTCCTCTCTGCCCAGTTCTGCTCCGTTTCTCTTCCATGGGGGGTTGAATCCAAGAGTGCTTCCCAAAACCCTCTTCCATTCATACCGCCATCTTAACGTCTGATTTCCTGGGACTCGCTTGTGAGAGGGGCTGCAAGGGACCATGTGGCAAGTTCTGGCCAGTGGGGTGAAAGAGTCACAAGACAGCTTCCTAAAATGTTCCCTCAGATCGTTGTCCTCAAACTTCGTGCCTGCTATGCTGCCAAAAGAATTTTGGAAAACGGTATTCATCCTTGCATACTTTTTAGATCTATTTTTTTTTCTTTAGAGTTTTAAATGTAATTTTTAGTGTATTGTCAATATTAACATTTAAAACTAAAGCTATTCACTTTTCAGTCTTTATTTTGCAAAAATCCAAGTTTGTTAAAAAAAAAAGCTTGCAAAATGATATGATGACTTCTTGTAGGCCCGTTTCTGGATTCATTAATTCTTAACCTTCTGCCCTACTTGCTGTCTCCTACACTCCAAATATGATTAGAATTCTTACTAGTATATAATGGATCAAAACAAATATATTTTGAATTCATATTAAACCTAAAAAGAAATATTTTACTGGGATTGTACTTCCTCAGGGAGGCGGACAGAGATTCCCCAACTTCCCCAAATTGTTTTCAGAGCGGCAGCCACAGCACAGCTGTTTAGTCCCAGAGTAGCATCAGGCAGCCTTGATTTGAATCCTGGTTCTGACACATTAGCTGTGTGGCCTTGGGCAAGTTATTTAACCTCTCTGTGTCTCAGAATCTTCCTAGTAATAGTACCTGTCTCATATAGTTGTATGAGGACCAAATGAGTTAATGTTGTAAAGCACAGAGAATGCCTGACACATTGTAAGCACAGTTTCGTTTATGACATAAATGAAATGCACCAGTGGACGTATAATTATTTATTGTTAGAATAATTAGACTTCTGAGCAAATTAACCACAAGAAGAGAAGAGATTATGATACTAGGAAGTTGCAGGCTTACAGAAGCCGCACTAATGATGGTGGTTAAATCCATCGTTTACCAGAGAATCACATCACAACGTTGTTAAAGTTAATCTAGTAAGAACATGGTAGGAATAAACAAATGAGCTGAGAAATGATTGATGAGTGGCAGAAGGCAGGAGACCTGTACCCAAATTAAAAAAAAAAAAAGACTCTATTATCCAATCATTTGAGAACAAAAGTTAATGAAAACATTTTTTTCTACAAGTCATTAAATGTTTACAAAAATATAAAACACTGAAGTATCTCTGATATAAGTTCCTTTTATTCAAAGATGCCATGTTTATCGGTTGAAAGTAAATGTGAAACTTTTCACTTCTTCCTCCTGGAAGTCACGAAATACGCAAAGAAGGGCAGACCCAGACAGGACGGCTGAGGGTTTCCCAAGGTCTACAGAGAACTGAGCCAGGGCATGGGCGTGCCTTGGAGCAGAGCTGCCTCGATTGCTGGGATACTTTTTAAGAATCATGAATATTTTTAAGATAGATGGATAAGGCATGACACTCCGCCCTGAGTTTGTCACCTGCGTGGTACAAAGTCCCATCACCTTCAGTCTTTCATTGCTTTATGCTCAAGGGGTTTGCCCTCAGGAACTAGGCATTCTTGGACAGTTTGGGGCCTATGGAAATTAACACCGTCATCACTCGGCTGCCCCCCCGTGCTACGTCTGAATCCCAAACAGCCCAACACAGGCCAAAGCGTCTTCTGTTTAATTTCACATTGTGCCCATAACAAAAATATGTACATGACAAAGAAGACACGAAAATCGACCACAGGCTTGTGGTGATTTGATTAAAAGAGGATTCACCCAAGCTGAGATTTTGGTGTCTCTTTGTTTGGGGCCACAAAGTTTTTACACACCAAGCAGTATATCTTAATAAAATCCAGGAGGGGTGAGGCGCACCGGGAAGTGTGTGACGCAGTGTGGATTGTTTTTTAACCCCTCCCCTCTCCATGAGACAAAATTATTTTCAGCAATAATCAGGAAGAGAAATGATGACATTTCATGCTTGTCCGAAACAAAATGAGTCAAACCTGTAATTTGTCCTCCTTTCCACAGTTTGAACTTTCAAAACACAAATGAAAAGTCCAAGTTGACAGAGGGAAATAACTCTATTTCATTTGTCTTTACAGGTAAGGTGTGGTCACGGTTTCCTTTGTATCTACTGTTTGAACGCAGACATCTGTTCCACAGGGATGCAGGTGCCCACCCAGAGCAAGGGGAGCTCGGATGATTCCAAAGGAGGAAGCCCTTACAATCTCACTCTGGAGGCAGCAGGTGCCAGGGACCCACTGAATAACTGGAGTTTCCCCAGTTAAAGTCTTTGTGGAATATAATGTTTTTTAAAGGATAAGTTATAAAAATATGCTAATTTGAAGTTTGCATATCTATTATTGAAAGCCAGGAGAAACCACGATGTTTGTTTGGCTTTAAAACTTAGACCAACGAAGTGTTTTTTTTCCAGGAGGAATATGTTATCACTGACATTTTTTTTTATTGAAGTATAGTTGATTTACAATATTGTGTAGCTTCTGGTGTGCAGCAAAGGTCACTGATACTTAGATCGCCGGCCGAGGTGATAATTTAGAGCAGCTGGCGTTGGGGGTGGACAGCGCAGCCTGCCCTTAGCGGGGGGTGGGGGCGGCCCCAGCATCCCTGCACACGGTTGCTGTGAGGCCTCCCTTTCCTTTAGAGGTGGCAGCACGGTCCACGGGCAGGTGAGACGAGAGAAGCAGCGGATGCCTTGAGCGCAGGCAGGAATATCTGAGGAAGGAGGTGGTAGAGAATGTGAGTTGGTGGCGACTGATCGCTTCCCACCTGCGTGCCGAGTACTCCTTGCAGAGTTAATGACCTCCGTTCCACAGCAGCCAGCACGAGCCCCTGGCCCCTATTTTTCTTGCTCCCGTCTCCCTCCTGCTGTCTGCAGTGCGGGTGCTGCCCTCCGGGACCCTCAGGCTGGCAGAGCTGGAAGAAACCTGGGCTCTGAGGACCCCGTGGAGAGCGCCCTGACTTTACTGATGGGAGAGAGAAATAAGGTTCCACCCTTTATGGGGTTTCTGACACTTCCAGGGGTCAGAGAAGGCCCCGGCATTTAAACGGCCTATGATCTAAAGGCTGCATCGGTGTTTTCTGAGGAAAAAGCAGAGGGAAGAGAATGACAGAGGAGGAAGCTCAGGTAGGGAAGTCAGGAGTGAGGGACAGCGTGGTGAGTCTGAGGAATGGGAAGCTCAGGTTCAAGGCGGTCTTGTGGGTTGGGAGAAGGCCTCCAGAAGATCGGCCGGTGACACATCTGTGCTCGTTGGCTTTGCCCGGTGTCATTGTCTGCTGTTCTTGGAGGTTCTCAGAAGCCAACCAAGAAATCCAGGGCTCTGCCCTCCCAGGGTTGTCCCAGGCAACCTCTGTTAGTGATGGTTCTTGTTTACCACCTTCTGACTCACACGCACCTGTGGTTTCTATGGTTGCCACCAACAATGAAGCATAAATCCATTCCTGCAGGGTGGGGTCCGCAGGGCGGGGCTGGCCTCTTCCTTTTCTGGTTCAGAACTCAGCAGAGTTTCCCAGGCTACAGCAGAGGCCTTTGCCAGGGCAGTCTCGGGGGTGGGTTTCCTTGGGAGGGGATGCGGAGAGGCCAGGGCAGGGAGCTGAGTGGGGCTGAGGGACCCATCTCTGCAGTCGGCCTGAGTGGGGGAGATACACAGTGTGTGAGAGAGAACAGGGCCACCCCGAGCTGTTCAGAAGCCCCTTCTCTCCAAATAATTATGGGGAAAGCCCAGGAGACGGAGCGAGAGAGAGAGTCTTGGGGCATAGAGGATTCAGAGCAAGATCCAGGAGACCCGGCCACTTTCTTCACCAGGACAAACAGGGTTTGGTCCCCAAATAGTGGTGGGGGTGATGAGCCAGATTATAAACCCAAAGTCAGGGAGTGAGGGGCACAGGCTGATGACAACTGGTACACAAAGGAATCAAAGGAAGCCAAAGGGGCAGATGGCTTTTTAAAAGATTGTCCCTCGTCTCACACATTTGCACAAAGTCTTGCAGGATGCAAAGCACCTGCGCATCCATTTTCTCATTTGCTTTTCAGAGAAGTCCTGTGAGGAAGCTGGAATGGGAAATGCCAGTCTCTGCTAGAATGGGGAGACCAAGGCTTTTATAATTTGACTAACACAGCCAAGGTCAAAACCAAGACTACACTCTAGGCTTCCTGGCTCACAGGCCACTGCTTTTTCCATTAAACCAGTTTTTTTCAAACTTTGGCATCTCCAGACCATTTTAGTGTGTGTCCCGAATACACAAAGTACCAAAACGCTCGATAAATTTTTTAAATGATCACAAATTTTAAAATAATGTAATAAAACATTTTAAAAGGAACAAATTGATGAGAAAGATATGTGTGTAATCTTTAGTAAAATATTTATATTCAGCTTGATGTTAGATTGTTTGAGTCATAGCTCAGGTTCCATATCCAGTTAGGTTCTTGTTTTTACAGTTTTTTGCTTTTTGTATATATTTTTATTAAAGTAGAGTCATTTTACAATGTGTCAATGTCTGGTGCACAGCATAATGCTTTGGTCATGCATAACACATATATATTAATTTTCATATTCTTTTTCATCATAAGTTACTACAAGATACAGAGTATAGTTCCCTGTGCTGCACAGCATGAACTTGTTTATTGGATTTTGTGAGAATCCTGTGGTGTTTTGAAGCAAGGACACTCTGCCAGAGTTCAGTAGGTGTTCTGTGTGGTTCAGTGGTTTGTAAATGTAATTCTTGGTGTATTTGGGGGAGCGAGCGAACTGTGTCTTCTTTGCCATCTTGGCACCTCCCACCAGGTTTTTCTTTCCCTAACGAGTCCACTAAATTAGGACAGCTTAAGGGATGACATCAAGTGCTTCATGAGACAATCCTGGATGAGCTGATGAAACTTAACACTCAGACGTGCGCGGAGCATGCTCGGGTGAAGACGGTTTGCTGAAAGGACAGGATTGAAGTCTGCAGGTTGGAACGAGGGCTGTTTTCACCTGGGAGGTGGAGACAATCGGATTTCTCATCCAATCCTTGGCCTGGTTCAGCTTTGGAAAGTACTTCTTGTTCTGATGTACAATTACAAGATGTGTGTGTGCAAGTGCGTGTGAAATACACATAACAAAGTTTGCTGTTTTATCAAACTGCTTTGAAAATACGCCCAATTATATGTTCTTTAAAATTTCTTTTTTCCAAGAAATAGTGTCTGGAAATAATAAAACTTTGATGATGCAACTGTGCCAGAGTTCCAGCTTTAAGAAATCCTGGTGTTTTATACCCAACATTACAACTGTGACATTTTGGTCCTGGGTGACAGGTCCTGACATGTCACTAAGGTGTGTTACCTGAGCAAACCGTTTGCCATTGGAGAAATGCTCTTTCTTGGCATTCTCAGTCACAAGTGTCGCCTCACGTTTCAAAAAACTCGCTAATGAAGAGGAAGCAGTAAAACTCTCTTATTTGCTGAAGGCATTCTGGCAGGTTCTCAAGGTTTAAATGTACAGAATTTCCACATGACTCAGCAGCTTCACTCCTAGGTATACACCTGAGAGAACTGAAAACGTGTTCACACAGAAGCTCGTGCATGAAGGTTCCGAACAGCATCATCGAAACAGCCAAAAAGTACAAACAGCCCAATGTCTATCCACTGACGAACAGATAAACAAAATGTGGTCTCTCTGTACGGTGGAATGTGATTCCACCATAAAGAGGTGTAAAGTGCTGTTTTGAGCTACAAAACGGTTGAACCTTGGAAAATGGTGGTGAATGAAAGAAGCCAGACACGGAAGACCACACACTATACGATGTCATTTATATGAAACGTCCAGGATAGGCAAATCCAGACAGACAGAAAGTGGATACCAGTTGGGGCTCGGGGAGGAAGGGGATTTGTACTAACGGCTACTAGGTGTGGCATTTCTTCTGGGGGTGATAGGAATGTTCTGGAATTAGATAGTGGTTGACAGTTGCACAACATAATGAATATACAAAATACCACTAAAGTGTACACTTTAAAATGGTGCATTTGTGAGGAGGGTGTAGCTCAGTGGTAGAGCGTGTGCTTAGCATGCACAAGGTCCTGGGTTCAATCCTAAAAAAAATTAAAAATAAATTAATGAACTTAATTACCTTCCCTCCCCCCAAATTAAAATGGTACGTTTGATGTTACGTAAATTATATCTCAGTTTAAAAATGCTAAAACAAAACCCAATTCATGGGAACACCCTTGCCCTCCAGCATGAGCGTGCTTCCCAGGGGTTGAAAGGAGGAAGCAGTTGCTTGTATTGTCACCTATTTCTGCATGATCGGGTTGAAAAGAATGTATCCTTGGTGACTGCACTTTGACTCATGGTGAAAATGTTTTCTATTTCCTTTAACACTGAATTGGGTTCAGGAGGCATAATGAGGACTGACTGTCAGTGGATCCCTGTGAATTAAAGTGTATGAACTGGCATTCATGTGATGGTAACAGTAATAACGAACCTTTAGTTTCTTTTATTTTTTCTTTCTATACTTTTTTTCTCTTCATTTTTTTTTATTGAAGCATAATCAGTTTACAATGTTGTGTCAATTTCTGGTGTACAGCATGATGTTTCGGTCATACAAACACACACATGTATTCCTTTTCAGATTCTTTTTCATTATAGGTTACTACAAGATAGTGAATACAGTTCCCTGTATAGTGCTACACAGTAGAAACTTGTTTATCTATTTTATATATAGTAGTATCTGCAAATTTCAAACTCTCAATTTATCCCTCCCTACCCCCTTCCCTCCCTGGTAACCGTAAGTTTGTTCTCTCTGTCTGTGAGTCCGTTTTGTCAGTAAGTTCATTTGGGATAACTAACCTTCATCAAGTACTGTCTCTGTGCCAGGCATCGCCCTAGAATTTTCTATGCAGGGCTTCACTAATCTTGACCACAACTGTATGAAACAGGCATTACTATTAACGCTGTCATCATCGTTTCTGATTTTCAGAGGGAAAACCTGCAGCACAGAGACACAGAGACAACCTCCTTTATTAGAATTCCGCCCCCTGCCTTCTTGCTCCCAAAGCCAGTGCCTTGGCTGTCCTGATTCCAGTGTGGCTTTTTCATTTACCAAATGATCTCTAGTAAGACAAAGTATCTTCCTCCTGCAGTAGAGGATTTTAGAGATAAGCAGAACAAAACGTCATTGACTACTTTGCCGTCATGTGTGTTTTTCCCCTCCTAAAAGCTATTTCACAACCTGAGTATCAGGGTTTCCGACGGCCAGGAAGCGGACTGCACACTCGCAGGCCTGCCTGACGGTGATGGGCGTGCACCTGGCTGTTCTCCAGCATCCAGCAGCATTCAGCAAGGCTGCTTTCTC